GATTCTCTCTCCCTCTACTTCTATCTTCCCTTCTTTCTTTCTTTTTTTTACATTCATTGTCCAACTGAAAACAATTAGTGTATTTTCCTCGCAATTAAAACAGAATAGTCCATTATTTATGAGGTTTTGGCAACGCCTAACAACTTCGCGGGCTAACAAAGAGAGAAAGACATGCGATTCCCTAGAGTACATACAGAATGATGACAGCTATGAACAATTAATTCCTGAAATTATTAATGTGATACAATTAGATAGATATGAACAGACTAACATAGATAGATAGATAGATAGATAGATAGATAGATAGATAGATAGATAGATAGATAGATTTTTAACAATTTCACCCTAAGTAAGGCAATAAAGCTACTAACAATCAAGGGGCCACTGAGTGTTAGAGAATATGCGAAAATACTACTAAGGAAGGAAAATAATAAAGTGATAAGAATTAAGAAGACGGAAGATAACGATTGATATTGCATTTAAATTTTTGAAGATCAAAGTTGACTGACAAGCAAGAAGCCGGAAGAGTGTTCTACAAGCATGAAGTGCGATAGGAGAAACTGTTAGTATAGAACTTGCTGTTACATCTAGCGGCCATTTCAACTGTGAAATGATGAGACCTAGCCGCCAATCTAGTACTGCGCTTAAATTCATAAAGTCCAGGTACCATAGCGGAAAGTTAATCGGAACAATTACCATGAAAGAAATTTAGAGAAAAGGTACAGGGAAGATACGTTACGGTGGTGGGGAAGAGACTAAAACCAAGATACCAGGCCAGGACCAATAACATTGCATATTCTGCTTTGGATTGTATCAAGAATTTCTAAATATATACCAGGAGTACCAAACAAGATGTGGCAGCAATATTCAAAGCAATGACAAATGGTAGACTTATAAATTTGTAAAATAGATTATGGGGAGAAAAATTGTCTAGCAGGACACAGTGAACCAATTTTCTTAGTTGCAGACTTAACAATTGATTCAATGTACTCTTTTCGCTTCATGTCAGCTTAAAATGTTAGTTCGTGAATGCGCAATGAGTCACATATTTCTTTACACATAACAAAAACAGGTTTAACAGAGAAAAGCTATTTTCTAATTCACTCTCGTTATTTTATAACGGATTAAGGAAACATTTATTAATATGGTCTCAACCATGACGAGTAAAAAAAAAAGTAGCATTAGATATTTTTAGAAAAAATAGCACAACCATTCTGATATAGACAAAAATAAAAACAAACCGCACTATTTTATTCTAACGAAGCCAGATGTATTCTAATATAAACGATATGAAAGGGTTATTAAAAAATCCAATTTAATATTGCATATCACTTAAGGATTCCAATAAACACTTTAGCTTTATCAACTTCTAAAAAGAATCTAAAACATCTAAACTAAGTATTACAAATAAATCTGGACCTCAAAAATCCCTCTGTGTAAAACAATGTTGATTATGAATTCTCATGTCCTTTAGAAGATTACATCTCTAATACCAATAATCAAAAAACAAATTAAATTCTTACATTGGTTACACAAACACTACACTTTCTCGGAAGTTAATTTGTCATTTACCGAAACTGAACATATCGATAATCACACCCCAAACAACCAAAATATAATGATTAACTTAAGAAAAATTTGAGTAGATAATACTATAACACACTAACTGTAAACAAAAAAACTGCATCATACATTCAGGTGAACTAAAAGATTGAGTCAACAGAAAATTTAATTGGCAAACATTATGAAAATTTTTTTAAAAAAGTGTACGTTTATTTACTTAGAAAACCAAAATAATGCCTACAGCCAGTAAAATAGACACAAGAATTTTAATTTAATAGAAATTACATTCCTAATAAATAAAGAAAACATCATATTCTTAATGTTTGATTTCTTGAAAATGCATAAAAGAAAAACTATAAAAGCACATATTGCTACACGACTTGGAAAAATTGAATTGACTCTTTTGTCTCTTATTGAAACACTCAAGGCAAAGAGAAGGATTACGTTCACATTCAGCACAAAATGGATTTACTTTTAGGGTTTTTATCAGCTTCTTTTGCCCTCATTATTTTTCTCATTTCACTACAACAGGATATGGTGTTGCGACCCTGGGACAAGAGAAATGAGCTTGGGAGCTAACGTGTTAACGCGGAAAGAATTCATAAGAAAAGAAAAAAAATCAAGTCAATCAACTAAAAAGAAGAGAGTTGAAATTTCTAGTGTGCATAATGAGGAAAGAGGGCTTGGAAAATTCAATACTCGCGGGACAGATTGAACCCATGTGGGACAAAGGAAAACAAAACATTGCCTACCTAATGAGCTTGTGCAAATGGACCGCAGAACAATGTTTAGGAGAGGAAATACAAAATTTATTAAGAGATACAAAGGAGAGGAAATTTTGGATTGCCATGATCGCCAACGTCCTAAAGGGACACGGCACATAGAAGAAAAAGATTGAGCTAAAAGATTCTCTTTGTAGAATCTCTACTCCATGACTTGTTAAAGACCTGGCGCCTGATTTCAGAAGAAACCTTTAGAGGATTTGGTAGAATCTATGCCTAATCAACAGACGACTTTTTTTTTTCCACATACAGAGAGAACCAAAATCTTTTTAAGCAGATAGCCATGACATTTGGACTCATCAGTTTCCATACATAAGTGGATTCAGAAAAGTTCTCGGTTCGATACCCCTCTAAAATCTTTCCAAATATTAGGGGTTTGTTTTTTTTTTTTTCTGGATATGAAGTTTTTAGTATCATTCGTATATAACAGGTTTTATCTTTTCTTTTCCAAATGATAAATACAAAATGTACGTATCTTTATCTAATTTTAAATTATATCATTCGCAAAATTTTATTCTCGAGTTTAAAAATACATGTGTATTTTCTATTAGAATACGCAGATTAAAACGCACGTGTTATTTATTATCTCTCTGAATTTGTTTGGTCTGAAAGCGTTCCGCTTTTTGACAAAGATAGTACTTATTATCAAGAGCTTTACATTTCTCGGATTAGAAGGTGGCTTCTTTTTGTTTAGGTTCAAATCTACTCACGTACATGGACAGATATGCAGCTACAAATCACGTTCGTCCACTATGTAAATAACAGTCGGTGTAAATAAATTTGTTACATACTTATCAAGAAAACGTTAATTTGATGAGCTGTTAGAAATATAGCCGATAAAACTAGGAATTTAACATCGGTAATCTGAGCGCAAATTGATTATTCCACGAATTATTCTGATTATCACCATCTTTAATTTTTTTTTATTCCTACGCCTTATCTTATTTTCGTTACGGTGTTCCTCTTATAAAGGTCTCTCGGTACTTTTCATCCGTTTCTTAAACATACACGTACAAATTGCGAGCTCGTCTCCTCACGTAGAACATTCTTGAAATAGACTTGAAAAAATGACGATGCATGAAAAAATATCTTTACAAAACAGCCATTAACATCCCTCAGGATTTATTCAAATACATGTTCAGATAAAAACAAAAACACTGAAGAAAATCATAGAAACAATTAACAGAATAATGAAAATGATTCATTTAAAAAGAAATTAGCGCAGTTCAATTTGTTGATTCGATTGTTTCCTCAGTGAGGTTTACACGAATACTTCAGGTTAGTATTAGTAAGGTATAGATGTATTAAGATCACAGGTTGTTGGCTATCACCCTTTACTGGGCTGAACTCACCCGTGAAGTTGCGAGATGTGGCGAGAATTAAAGAACTATAGCTTTTAACTGGTGGGGTTCAAAGAAAAAAACGTTAGGAATTTTACATTGGTGGGATGCTCTTTTTTTACGCTGCTATTTTATTGTTTTTCAAATGAGTTTCTGGTCGCCAACTTAAGTATTGGACGTTTTCGTTTTTAATATTAAGCACTTTATTAGAGCCTGAAGCAGGAATTTTTCAACGCACTAACTGGATTAAACCTGACTGGCATGGCCGAACAGTTCAAAACAACCGAGAAGGCCGCCGTTAGATGGAAAAGAAGACTGGGTAGGGAAAACAAAGAAGATGAGGTTTATTAAATACTCATACATAGGAGTTTAAAATAGCCGAGGATTACGAAGGCCGTCGTTAGAGGGAGTATCGAAGGAGCAGAAGACTAGACAGAGGAAACAAAGAAAATGTTCATTAAATACATAGAACGCAAAAATTTGGTTAAACCAAATACTTCTTAAACCCTTCTCTAATGTGGCTACTTGCCATATTTATAAGAAGGAGCAGTCCATTGCCACAGTAGTAGTGAGGAGCAGGAAGTACGTTGTGCAATACTCTACAAGAAACTCAGAAGATAACAAATGCATTTAAATTTTTTGAAGATCATTGTTGACAGGAAAGCAAGAAGCCTGCAAAAAATTCCACAAGCGAAAAGTACGAAAGAAATTGTCAGCATAGAACTTACGGTTCCATCTAACCATTTCAAGTCTAAAATAATAAAACCTTGCCGTCAATCTAGTACTGCGCTTAAATTCACACATAAAATCTAGATACCAAAGAGTAAAGCACATTAGAATAATTACCATGAAAATATCTATAGAAAAGGCACAGGAAAGCTACGTTACGGCGGTGAGAAAGTGACTGAAGCCGAGATGCCTGGTCAGGACCAATAACATTGCAGATTCTTCTTTGGATTTTATTAAAAAATCTCTAAGTACGTAGAAGAACCAAACCAGATGCAAACCTAGCCGCAGAATTGCGGAAGTCAAAACTACGGAATGCCGCTGGTCTCTAAGTCGCCAATGTTACATCGCAGGATGGAAGACGCTTGACTACAAATGAAGATGTCTGTGAGGAATTTCGGGATTCCAATAATAAAATATCTGTATTTTTTCACTTCGATATGATTGGAGCAACTTTGGTACGAGGGTCCTATGACAGAGGGCGGAATTTGGAAAATATTGAAAAGGTCGGGACAGGGAATCACTCTTGGAATCAGTTACATACCCTACAAAGAGCACTTGAAGCTGAAGCCCAGGTTTGTCCTGGTCTTACGATAATACCACGTTGAAACATCAGTTCTCATCCGATCAGCATAGTTAAGCAACGTTGAGCCTGGTTATTACCTAGACGAGTGTCCGCTTGGGAATACCAGGTACTATAAGCTTAGATGTTTGGGTGGTGTGATGGATAACGGCACTGAATTGGAAATCGGAGAGTCAATTTTCAAATTCCAGTCAGGTTCGTTATACTCACGCGAAATTGCCTTTGGAGAATGACATAAACCCACTTCTTCCCCCAACTACGGGTTAATTAGTATCTTGTATCAGTAAAATTTTATTATCTCCCAAATTATTTTAGAATCTAGGAATATTTTCTGACATTAAATAACCCGCAAAAGGTTGATAAGCCGTAAAAACAAATCATCGTGGGTGTAGTAAAGTTGTTATGCAAAACTAATCATGGTGGGTGATGGAATTTGTAATGTTCGACCGCTAACGATTTCGCCAAGTTCTTTGCAAAACGCTCGCAGACTATGCCGGATCGTCTGACAGACCCTCAACAAATTGCTCAAACAAGTTGATCAACAGTCGCATAATATCGGAGTATTTGTAATGCCATGTCGCGCATGGGTAGGTGTCCTTACATGTATTTCCGGTAGGCAACCCTTCGGCTATATTATGCTTTGGTCTCAGCCACGTTCTTGCTAATTTGTATTGCCAGTGACAATAGATAGTGATAAATATGTTAACCGTTTTCTCCTCCAAACAAATCTCCTTATGACAAATACAGTGAAAAGAAATACGAGAAAACCAGAAATCTTCGTCTTCTTTTTTTTCATCCGATTCATGCACTTCCGACGAGTATTGAATGACGATCTTTTCTCGCTAAAAATTTTAGCCAGAATATTTACTGTTTATTCAGAGCAAATTACATTGGTTTTTCGGTAGCACAAAATTGAAGCATTTTTCATATTCTACTGGTGCTAATTTTCACAACAAACGTTTTTTCTCTCTCGTCTTCGCAATCGCTGAATTTTTCTGTAAAGATTTACTCGTATCTTCTAAAATAAGCAAATCAAGTAATTCCATCATCTGTTCTTCCGTATTATTTCAATTAAATTTTGTTGTTGTTTCTAGAGATCCAACAATTGCTGTTGTTGCATTTTTACCACTTGGGATGATAATTCTTCTATATTTGAATGATATCTTTTCATTTAAAGAATATCTGGGTTTTTTCCTTTCTCTTTCTTTCTTTTTTACACACACCAAAGAAAAAATTAAACCAACATGGTTCTAATTTTTCGTCGTCACTGTTATACTGTGCGCTAAAACAAAAAAATATTTTTCCTACCCTCGATCCCTCGTCACCACTGTTATAACTCTCTCCTAGCAGTTATAACATTATGCCTCGACTGACTCCAACAAAAACTTTGAGTTCTTTAATTAAGGCGTCTTGCCTAGTTCATTTGTGTTACCGGGTGTGTCTTATTTACTCCACAACAATTTTCCTACTCATTTCCCCAATAAATCTGATCAACATGCTTCTTGACTTGATTTGTTCTTATCTCCTCTCCTAGCTCTAGTCGAGCTTCGCAACTCTGTCCTCTTGGCAACTCTGATCACGCTGTAGCATCTTTTGATATTTTGTTCCAATCATCTATTAGACAAGAACCTCCTATTCAATAAACCCCTTTCCGTTACCAACGCGCTTGATTCAAAGCCAACATAGATGCTTTAGTTCCTTCTCGGAAATACTAGGTGAAACTTCAATCTTCTTCATAGTTCACAGCAGCTTGTCCTGCCGCTATAACCCACAGGTATCACTTTTTCTGATTATACCAGCGTAACAGTTCCGATCACAACAGACGCCTATTCGTGGCTGCACGTAATGAGTGATATGTATATAACCCCTTGCATGGTTTCTGCTATCATCTTGATCCAACGTGGTTGTATTACCGACAATACATTTTAGTAAAAAGAAAAATTAAATACATTACCAGCAATACATTTTTGGAAAAGAAATTACTAATACTCACAAGAAAATTAAATTTAGGCATTAAATGACCCATATATGTTGCTAAACAAACTTTCTTCTTCTTTTGTTTTTGATTACGCATCCCGTCCTCCTGCTCTTCTTTTGCTTATTCTTATTCCTTTATTCTTATTCTTTTATTCTTATATTCTTATTCTCTTATTCTTATTCTCTTATTCTTATATTCTTATTCTTTTATTCTCTTATTCTTATTCTTATTCTTTTAATTGCATTTTCTTTCTTCTTCTCTTCTTTCTTCTTCTCTTTTGTTTACTATTCCTTTCTTCTTATACTTTTGATTATGCTTCCTTTCTTCTTTTTCTGCATTTTCTTCTCCTTCTACTGATTTTCATTACGCTTCCTTTTTTTCTTTTCCTCCTCTTTTCATTATGGTTCTTTTCTTCTTTTGCCCTTGATACCCCCTCTTTGCTTCTTTTTTTTCCTTTGGATAAGGTCTCCTTCCCTCTTCTTTTTTATCTTCCCATATTTTTTGAAGCTCTGAATTACCCTTGATCAGTTTAGAACATGTCCGTACTATAAGCCCTATCTACTGCTGATTTTTTAATATCAAACTTTCAGCTATAACTGAACCTGTCTTGAGTCTTCATTTTTTTTTCTCACACCTTTGCCCTCTACCTCAGTTTTGATGAGAACCGATAACCCTGTTTCGTAGTCCCTTTTGTTAATTGTTACCAGTTTAAGGTAATATATATTTGTAAACCAATCTTTTTGTTAGAAATTTTCCTTTAATATGCCCGTTTATATCACGCTAATAAAATGCTGTAACAGTAGAAAAATACCTAAATATTTTCTTTATTTCCCTTCTTCAGTCTTATGATTGCAAGTTCTACTTCTCTTTTCGCTCCCTTTGATGGTCAAATTATCCCGCCACGCCATAATCCCGCTTCCTTTTATAGTCGTTTAATTTTTATTTTTTGCTTTGTTTCTTCTCTATTCTAGGAATAAGTCTGAAACTCTTTAAAAGTTTAAAACGTTGCCGTTAGTCATAAACATGACGGATATCTGATCTGGTCGAGCGGTGGAGTGAACTATTACGATTCAATGCCTCCAGGTCTTTTAAAGAACTTACTATATCGCCATTTGATATTCCTGAATTGACTGCATATTTCTTCTTGACACTTCTTCGCTGTATTCAATATCTTTTTTGGTATTAACTGTCTCAATAGAAATGATTTTGTCACATTTCGTACTGCTCGTCCAACAATGGAGATGACAAATATCCCATTGTATCTAAAGAACTGGTATGAAGCTAATTCTCTGTAGATTCTGTGACATCTATTTCATGTTCTTTTTCGAGAAAATTAAACAGGTTGGAATATTTACAGTTTTCTCCAAGCAAGATTTTATGAAGATGAAAAAAGTATATATATATATATATATATATATATATATATATATATATATATATATAGTCTTAAGATGTGCTATATTTATGAGATAAAGTGCTCAATATCAGAGATAGAGCGTGTGTAAATATAAAAGTGAACATAGAAGTCAACACTCAGAGGCGACAGTCCGTTTCATGCTAGTTGCAATCGTCAGGCCACGATTGCATCTAGCATGAAATAGACTGTCGCCTCTAAGTGTTGACTTCTCTGTTCACTTATATATATATATATATATATATATATATATATATATATATATATATATATATTGAAAAAGAGAGAGAAATGAAATTTTGATGAAATGAGAAAGGCAGAGAATACATCGGAGATGGTGTTACCGAATGTGGGGACCGGCTCAAGATAGAAAATTATGTGGGAACCGGCTCAAGATAGCAAATTATTGGCCAGAAGCCCCGTGAGTGTAGAGCTCTGATAGTGATGGATTGCCTTTGTTTAAGTATTGGATGCAACACCAAGGCTGCACGAAGTCGGTAGAGGGCTGCAAGAATTTTGAAGAGTCAATACGCTTTCTGTATCCAGATTCCTTAGAGAGGCTAGCCCGCACGTGAGGGAATACTAAACCAACGAGTGGGCATGCATTCACCTGAAGATCTTCCTCCCACTACTGCCTAGATTCGATCCTAGCACGCCTGTCAATCACGTATGTCGATACCGTCTATGAAGGGTCGTTGGGTCTAAATTACGGAAACCAATGGCGACACGAAACGAACTTTATAAAAGAAACAAAGGAAGGATACCTAATCGAAAGGAAAAAAAGGAGCAAAGAGCGGGTTATCAAGGGCAAAAGAAGAAAGGAACCATAATGAAAAGAGGAGAAGAAAAAAAGGTAAAAATCAGTTCTTGTCGAACCAATTCAAAACAGAGCATAGATATAAAACGAAGTTTAAAACTCTCTTAGATATAAATAAAACAAACCTTTTCTTGTCTGAATTATATGCGGGCTAATTGTCCTCCTCGTCTTTGCTGTTTTTATCACAACGTTTTGGAGGTTGTGCCCTCCGGATTATCTCAGGTATATATCAATTTAGGTAACCTTCAGGGAATTCCGAATTGAATCCTTTATTTAATCTACAGGAGTAGGCTGTTCCTGTTCCATTGCTAATATCTAGGGATATCTAATCTAGTGTTCTGGTATCGCTTGTTAGTACCCAAGGACTGAAGTCACACACACTATATCACCAAACTCACAAACCAACGTTGTTACCCACTAGGCCATTGTTGGATAATTTTTGGAATAAGCTTAAACCTTAAAGCTAACCTTAGCTGCTGATTAGGCTGTAACTGCTGTTAATCTGAACTCTTGAGGCTGTAATTCGTACCAATGGAAGCTATATTAAATTCTTCTGATATTTTTAATGTCGCTAAATATATAAATATTAATGCTACTGTTTTTCTGATCGTTTATAACTTTTGCATGCCATATTTTCAGCATCACCATGCATTGAGCTCTGTATCCCTCTTCGTACCGTGTCAATGAGAATGCAACAACTTGTACGACAGCCATAAACAACCACAAATACTACTGATGCAAGTACGTTGTTGAACACTTACAGCTTAGAGAAAATCCAATATACTGATTTTTCAGCAAAGTGTCTCACTTCTTTTAATCATCATTGTAGACCAGTGTTTCTCAAGCTTTTCAAGCAACGGCACATCTAAGAGCTAATGAAAATGTCCCGCACACTTAGCAAAATTT